CCTTCGGCTCAGGTCATGATCCTGGAGTCCCGGGATCGAGTCCCACATCAGGCTCCCTGCTCAGCGAGGAGCCTGCTTCTCCCTCTGACCCTCCCCCCTCTCATGTACTCTCTTTCTCTCATTCTCGCTCTCTCAAATAAATAAATCTTTAAAAAAAATTACCTATTCTAAATGTAAAATTCAGTGATTTTATTAAATTTATAGAGTTGTGCATGAATCACCACACTGAATATTAGAATATTTCCCCACATTCTCTCATACTTGTTTACAATCCTCACTCTCAACTCTAAGGCTTAGGAGGTTATTAATCTGATTTCTGTCTCTATAAATAATTTCCCTTTCCTAGACTGAAATTGTACAAAAGGTAGTCTTGTGTTTGGCTTTAGATGTCTTCCGTTAAGCCTAATGTTTTTCTAGATTCATCCATGTGTTGCATATAGCAGTAGTTCATTACTTTTTTTTTTCCCTTAAATTTTTAATTGTAAAATACACATAAAATTTACCATCTTGTTTTAAGTGTACAATTCAATGGTATTAAATACATAAGATTCAACCATCGCCACCATGCAGCTCTGTAACTCTTTTCATTATAAAACTGAAAGTCTGTATCCATTAAACGATAATTCCCCATCACCCCATCTCTGTCCAGCCCCCAACACCCAACATTCTCCTTTCTGTCTCTACGATTTTGACTATTCCAAGTACGTCATGTACGTGGAATCATATAGTATTTGTCTTTTTGTGACTGGCTTATTTCACTTAGCATAATGTCCTCAAGTTTCGTCCATATTGTGGCATGTTGCAGAATTTCCTTCCTTTACAAGGCTGGATAATATTCCATTATATGTATATGCTGCATTTTGCTAACTCTGATTCCTTACTTTTTATTCATGACTGTATTCCATTGTATGGATATACCACATTATATTTATCCATTTACCAGTTGATGGACATTTGGCTTATTTCCAGTTTTTGGCTATTACAAGATTGTTGCTTCTGTGAACATTCAAATACTTATCCGAGTATGGACATAAGATTTCATTTTTCTTGGTTAGATTCCTAGGGTGGAATTGCTAGATTATGTGGTAAATTTGAGTTTATCTTTTTAAGGAACTGCCAAATTGTTTTTTCAAAATGGCTCTACTACCATTTCATTCCCACTAGCAAAGAATGAGGTGTCTAGTTTTTCCATGTCTTTGTCAACATTTGGTATTGTCTTTTTAACATGTACATTCCAGTGCTTTTAATTTGTAGCTTTAATTGCATTTCTCCAGTGATTTATGATGTTGAGTATCTTTTCCTGTGTCTATTGGCCATCCATATATCTTCTTTGTTGACAAATCTATGAAGACCTATTTGCCTATTTTTTTTTCTTTCAAAGATTTGTTATTTATTTATTTGACAGAGAGAGACACAGCAAGAGAGGGAACACAAGCAGGGGGAGTGGGAGAGGGAGAAGCAGGCTTCCCGTGGAGCAGGGAGCCCGATGCGGGGCTTGATCCCAGGACCTTGGGACCATGACCCAAGCCGAAGGCAGATTTGGGTTATTTACCTTATTATTAAGTTGCAAGATTTCTTTATTCTTGGTGCAAGTTCTTTGTCAGATATATGACTCGTAAATATATCCCAGTCTTATTTTCTTAATCTTGCCTCTTGAAACAAAATTTTAAAAATTTTATGAAGTTCAACTTATTTTTTTTCTTGTATGTTCTTTTGGTATCATATCTAGAAACTCTCCCTACCCAAAGTCATGAAGATTTTCTCTTATGTGTTCCTCTTGAAGTTTTATAATTTTAGTTCTTATATGTAGGACTGTGATCATTTTGAGTTAATTGGTGTTTATGGTGTGAGGTAGGTAAGTCTTTTGATTTTTTTTTAAAGATTTTATTTATTTATTTGATAGAGAGACAGTGAGAGAGGGAACACAAGCAGGGGGACTGGGAGAGGGAGAAGCTCAGCAGGGAGCCCGATGTGCGGCTCGATCCCAGGACCCTGGGATCATGACCTGAGCTGAAGGCAGACACTTAACGACTGAGCCACCCAGGCGCCCCTTAATTTTTGTTTTTGTTTATTGCATATGCACATCCAGTTGTTCCAGTACCATTTATTGAAAGGACAGTCCTTTCTCCATTGAATTTTCTTGGCATTTTTGTTAAAATCCAGTGACCAAAAAAAAAATGTAAGGTTGTGTTTCTGGATTCTAGTTTCTGTTCCACTGATCTGTATATCTGTCCTTAGCCAGTACCATATTATCTTGATTACTGTGGCTTTATAGGAAATTTTGAAATTAGGTGGCATAAGTCCCACAGCATTGTTCTTTTTTTTTTTTTTTCCAAATTGTTTTGGCTATTCTAGCTCCTTTGCATTTCCATAAAAATTTTACAATCATCTTGTCAATTTCTATCCAAAAAAGCCTACTGGGATTTTGATAGGTATTATGTTGAATTCATACATCAATTTGGAGTTAATTGCCATCTGGACAATATTGATTCTTCCAATCTATGAATGTGGGGATTTTCTCTTTGACTTTCAGTGGTTTGCCTATGATGTATCTAGATATGGATCTCTTTATATTGATTCTACTTCGGTTTTATTAAGCTTGTTGAATGAGTACATTGATGTTTTCAAGAAATTTGGGAAATATCCATTTTTTCTTCAAATTCTCCCCCTCCCCCCATCCTTTTGAGACTCAAATCAGAATCTCCATCTTATGACTGTGGTCTTGTTATCTGGGTGGGAAATGGGAGCTTGCACCTCTTGACTGCACTGCCCAGACTTAGCCAACAAGTTACTCAGGACAGGATGGGAAATGCTGACATCCTGCCCCTCCTGGGAACACAACTGGGGGGAGAAGGGAGCCTTATATTTTTGGCCGCACAGGTCTAGAGTTGAATTTCCATTGTGCTGAATTGGGATGGTGGTAGGAGGGGAGTGATTCTTAGTTCAAATACCATAGTCTGAATTTTAATAGCTTGTCTTGAGTAAATGTTTCCTCATGTGTGTCCTTGGAACAATTTTTAGAGACTAGCCTACGCAATTAGAAATAATTTCTCATAAACTTCCAATCAGTTTAGTTGTTCATTATAAATTGTTTTAAAAACTTTCAAAAATTACATTAATGTATGAGAACAATGAAACAAATTTGATTTGCCCCATGTTCTACTCTCATTTCCTCAAAAAGAAAAAAGCCATTCTCTTTTTATTTTCACTCAACAGTTGCAAAAGATTTACCTATAGATTCACTGGAAGATGATTTTGAGAGGGAATTCTCATTTCTCAACAACCTTCTAAGTCCTGGTTCTTCAAGTACTGGTGAATTTACCCAAGAATGCCAGACTGCCTTTGGGAGCCCTGGCGCCAGCTTCATGTTGCGGGAGCCTGCTGTGGGGTCTGGGCCTCTTGCTCATTCCTCACGATTCCTTCCTTCACAGCTCTTTGACCTTGGCCTTCATGCTGCCGGAGCTTTTAACAGTAAGTGCCTATGAAACATTTAGACACTCATGACTGACTTTATCTTTGTGAAGCAAAACTATGTGTATGTGGATGCTAAAATCAACAAGGATATTGATTTAACTTCAGTACTACTAGATGAAATCTGTGTCTCACCTGAAAAAATAAAAAATATTACCACTGGAGTATATCGACAGGCGTGAAACAAGAGCTGCTGTCCTGCTCCCTCTGCCAAACCCCACACTTTGTACATTGACTTGCCCAGAAGTCTTCTCTACATAGAAAATCAGGGTCTTATTTTAAACTTGCCCTGCTAAGTTACCCCTGCGTAGGGCAGGCGATACCGTTTCTTCCATCTAGCCAAGCTTGGTGTTTTCTCTTCCCATGGGTTCCAGTAGACAAGGATAGTTCCACGGCAGCGTTCTGGGCAAGGCAGCAGGCCTGGAAGATGGTGGTAGAAAGCTGGGCAAGGTGTTTTCCTAAGGGCCACCTGCTTTGTTTATATGTCAGGGACTCCCACTACTGACCTACTGCCCCACCAGCCTGTGTCCAACCCAGCACCTTCAGAGTCCTTTTGTTCAAACCCACTTCCACACTGGTTGCTAAGTGCTGTCAATTCTATTTCTAAAACATGTCTCCAGTTTCACATTCCTCCTTTCTACCTCTATTACCAGAGGCATTTAGAGCCTTATTTGGTTTCCTGGGCTGCTGCAAGAGTCCTCCTACCAGGCCGCCCAAATCCCAGGTCACCTTCCATGCTTCCCCGAGTTCTTTCTCCAAGAGGCAGATTCTGATGTCAGCACTCTGCTTTCAGTGACAAATATGCTTCACAGTGCTTGTGCCCCAAGACATTTGCCTGCATGACTTTTTATCCTCCTTCATTCAACTCTTTATCTTTCCCTCATCCTTCAGTTTCTGGCTCACTCATCATTTCCGGTTATATCTTTACAGTGTTTCATTTATTTGATAGCGACCTTATTTATGTCTATGCTCTTCCGTTAGGTTTTAAGAATCACGAAGGCAGAGAATGTCCTTTATTGCATGTCCTTATATCCCCTAATGTGTAGCATAATATCACAGAATCATTGAGTTGCACAAAATGCATGATGCCCCTGAAGTTGTGCACTGTTGCAGGTGGAATTATTGACTTCACACGCATAGGATTTAAAATACTTCAGAAGGGAAGAAAAAAAAAAGGACTATGGGCTCTAGGATAAAACTTGTGCCTGTATTTCCACTCTTATCTCTTAGCTTACTTCAAAATACTTAGCATTTTCTGTAACTATATTGACTATTTTTAGATCCCTCTGAGACATTGTTGCTCGTGTTGCTGCTTTTACTTATGATGTTCAGTAATGGAGCGTGGACTTGAGCCTGTGTGTTAGATTCCCAATCCAGTGTTTTCTCCGTGGCGGCCAACACTTGACTATTTCTTCAGTACTGCCCAGTGCGTGGTTTCTCCCGCCTCTGGCCTCCCATAGTGCTCTGTTTCCATGACTAGAATCATAGTTCATCTTGCCTTCTGTCCCAGACAGGGGTCTTCCATCCCCTAGTAGATTTTATCCCTGAGAAAATGGCTCACAACACCTAACAGTATCTTAATGCATTGTACTTTGTATTAAAATACTTATGTTCATACTACATCTGCAAGACCATCATACTTTATCCAATCTGTAAGCACCTCAAGGGCACGATCTGTGGGGTGATTTATCTTTGTTCCTTCTGTGACAGCAGCATAAACTTAGCTCAAAAAATAAAATAGCAGTTCAATAAGCACTCCGTAAGAATTTGTTAAATAGCCTAAAAATAACAATACAGTATTATTTGATAAAGAGGCACTCTATCTAGGATAATTCAGATGTTTTACTATAAAATTTTAGAAAACAATTACTCTTATATGCATTATCACTGGCCTAATAGTTACACAGATTTACAAACAGATTCATTCTCCATGTGAAATCCTACTGCTCTTTCTCCTTAACGTGCCACATCTCTAGCAGCACTGGATTCTTTTCTTCCTTCCTGGCAGTACATTATCAACAGTATTTCTTCACCACTCAGAGCATCTGTTCTGGTCCCCACCTGCAGGCTGACAGGATGTTCCCAGGCAATGGCTGAGGCAGTTGATACTCTGTTTAATGAGTGTCTTGCTTAAGATCACCAGGCAGTCAACAATTAAGAGGGAACCAAAATCTGGTCTTCTGCCTCCTACTACAGGACTCTTCCTACTTCACTCGCCTTTTCTTTATCTCTTCTTATTCTCCTGCAATGTAAACCAGGAAAGTGAGCTGCCCTGAGTTAAAAGAGCTATGTTCTAGGAACCCTAAGTAAGAACATAGGCTTCAAGTGATCTCTTCTGTACAAGGAAGGTAGAAGGCAGGACAATCTAATTTCATTTCTAGTGCTGTATTTTAACTATAGCCTAAATAATTTCTCATGTTACAGGCAAACATTTCATGTCTTAGTAATAGTATTACTAAGAGTATTCATAATGATACTTTTTAATGACCACATAATATTTTGTCACATTTATCTCCCATAAATCCTTTCTTACTGTTATGAGTTTTTCATTTCATAGATATGCTGCAATAAACATAATCATACATGTACTTTTTTTTCCTTCACTTAAATTATTTCCTTAAGATAAATTTCTAGAAATAGGATTACTGAGTCCAGGCGTATAAACATACTTAAAGGTTTCAAGATTCTAATTGGCAGGTCTATTTCCTCTCTCCCAACTCCTTAGAAATTCTTTCTATACCTTATCTATTTGCAGTTGTTTGAAAAGAAAACTTATGTATTTATTTCAAAACCACTTTGAAAACTAAGGAAGTCTAATTCTAGCTGGAACTAAACTTAGATGATTTGACTAAAATACATAATTGCAGATACATTTTAAGTGTCTTCTATGTCTTACATTGTAGAATCTCACCCTGATAGAATTGAGGACTCATTAGTTATTTTTACCTTTTCTTATTTTTTCTGATGCTGCTTCCTACTTGACTAACAATGGGGATAATTCCTTCCCTCCCCCAGGCTGGGCCTTGCAAGGGGGATTAGAAGTTCCTCTTTCACACACTGACAACCAGCCAGTGCCTTCACAGAGTCCAAAGAAATTAACAAAATGTAAGTTATTTATTTATATTCTTTGCCATTATATTAACAATCAGTTGAATGCAGGTAAATTTAGAATAGGATCATTTTATAGTGTTTGCCTCATATTGTCCAGAAAAATATTTTGTTAATAATAAATTAAAATGAAAGTTATAGGGGCTCCTGGGTGGCTCAGTTGGTTAAGCGTCCAACTCTTTTGATTTTGGCTCAGGTCGTGATCTCAGCGTTGTGAGATCAAGCCCTACATCAGGCTATGCTCTCAGTGGGGAGTCTGCAGGAGATTCTCTTCCTCTCCTTCTGCCCCTCCCCCAACTTGTGTGAGTGCGCGCTTGCGCTCTCTCTCAAATAAATATATAAGGATGCATGGTGGCTCAGTCAGTTAAGTGTCTGCCTTTGGCTCAGGTCATGATCCCAGGGTCCTGGGATCCAGTTCCGCATCAGGCTCCTTGCTCAGCAGGGAGTCTGCTTCTCCCTCTGCCTGCCACTCCCCCTGCTTTGTGCTCTCTCTCTGACAAATAAAAAAATAAAATTTAAACAAAATTTAAAAAATAAATAAAATCTTTAACTAAATAAATAAAATGTAAGTTGTACCTGGCTATCCCTCATCATGGAAAAAATTAAATAGAACTTGTGAGCTTGTCATAGTCAACTAAATTGTGTACTTTAATTTTTTATATTTTGTGTTAAGGTTTGTTGGTAATGGATAATACCATTAGGGATAGAAGGTATTCTTTGATTACAAGATGCCTATTGACAAACAGTGCATTCAGGCATTTAGCAAAGGGCCTGGCACATAGTAATTGCTAACATTGATTGAGTACTCACCATATTGTTATCTGCAGAACTGGTTCATGTTGTTATGGTAATGCATAGAAAACAGACACTGTCAGGATTTTAGATACATAATAATCTTAGTCACTGATATTTTTAAAAATTTTAATTGGAAAGAACTTCAAATGTACAGAAGTGTTGCATAAGTGAAAATAGCACAAAGAACACCTGTATATCCTTTATCCAGATTCATCTACGGTTAATATTTTGCTTTATGTAGACGTGTGTATGTGTGTAATGCGTGTTATTTTATTCCGAACCACTTGAGGGTGAGTTACATACATCATGACCATTTACCCCAAAATACTTCAGTGTATATCTCCTAAGAACTGGTATATTCTCTTGCATAACCACAGTATGGTTGTAAACTTTAGGAAACTTAATATTAACATAATTCCTTTTCCATAATCTACCATGTATTTGTCTTCCAGTTTTGTGAGCTGACCCAGTCATATCCCTTATAGCACTTTCTCCCTCTGGACAGCAAGTCTAGTGTCTTATATTCAGTTGTCATGTCTCTTTAGCCTCTTTTAATCTGAAACATTTCCACAGCATTTCTTTGATTTTTTGAACATGGGCATTTTAATAGAATATAGTCCCTCTACTCCATTTTTCTTTGTTTTTAATGGAATATTCCTTATTTCAGTTTGATCTGAATTTTACTGTGATTAAATTCAGGTTCTTCATTCTTGCCTGGAGTACTGCACCGGTGACACTCCTCTCTCTGGGTTTCACATCTGAAAGTTGATGCTCGCCATTTCTCCCTCATTGATGATGTTAATTCTGACCACCCATCCAAAGCATTGTCCAATTTTTCTCCTAAATAATTACTAGTTTATGTTATTTTATCCTCTCTTGCAATTACTAAGCAGTCCGTGAGGAGACGCTTTGTGCACAAGTCCAGCTCGTCATCAGAATTTCTACTTAGATTTAGCATCCAGTGTTACTTTTGGCCAGATTCAGTCTTTACTATGATGGGTGGTAAAAAAATGATGATTTTCTAAACACAGCACTCCCTCCGCGTTTTTATTATAGTAGGAAACACATAACGAAATTTACCACCTTAACCATTTTTAAGTGAACAGTTCAGTAATGTTATGTATATGCGTAGTGTTGTGAAACAGATTTCCAGAGCTTTTTCATTTTGCAAATCTGAAACTTTATCAAACATTAAACAACAAATCCTCTTTCCCCTTCCTCTGCTAACCACCATTATAGTTTCTGTTTCTATGAATTTGACTACTCTAGGTACCTCATACAGTATTTGTCTTTTCATGACTGGCTTATTTCATTTAGTCTCATGTCTTCATGGTTCATCCATGTTGTAGCATGTGACAGGAAATTAATATCATCATAGTGCTATTATCTAATTTATAGACCTTATCCAGATTTGCCAATTGCCCCACTAATTTTTTTTTTAAAGATTTTATTCATTTATTTGTGAGAGAGCATGAGCGAGGTGAGGGGCAGAGGGAGAAGCAGACTTCCCGCTGAGCAGGGAGCCCGACTTGGGGCTCGATCCTGGGGATTCCAGGATCATGACCTGAGCCTGAGCCAAAGGCAGGCGCTTAACCAGTTGAGCAACCCAGGCGCCCCGGTGTTTTTTATAACAAAAGAGAACTTTTTTTTTCCTTTCCTAATGCAGGATCCAATCCAGATTCCCACATTGCATTTAGTGTCATGTCTCTTTAATTGTTTGTAATCTGGAACAGTTCCTAAATCTTGGTCTTTCATCATCTTCACTTCTCTATAGCATAGAGGCCATTAATTTGTAGAATATTCCTCGAGTTGGGTTTATCTGATGTTTTTTCATAATTAGATTCAGGTTAGGGATTTTGGCAGGAATAGCATAACAGGAGTGATGTTGTGCCTTCTTAATATCAGGAGGCACATGATGTCTGAATTGTCCCATTGCTTGTGATGTTAACTTTGATCAGTTGGTTAAGATGGTGTCTCCCGGGTGACTGCACTATAAAATTACTATTATATTTTTCCCTTTGTAATATCTTGTGGGAAAATATTTTGAAACTGTGTAAATGGCTTGTTTCTGTCAAAGTTTCACCCACTAATTTAGCATTCATTGATAATTCTTTGCATGAAATACTTATTACACTGGTTGTTGCCAAATGGTGGTTTTCTCTTTCCTCATTCTTTCTACATTTATTAGTTGACATTCTAACTGTATGGAACAGCTTTCTCTTGTCCCTCATTTTTTTATTTGTTTGTTGATATGTATCATTGTAGAATCTTGGAATTCTGTTCTTTCCGGTACTTTGGGATAAATCAATTGGAAAATCCATCAACTCCAAGCAAATGACAGATTCACACTAGCCAATTCAGAACACAGCCGTCCCTTTGGGATTCAGCCTATTTATAATTTTCTTTTCTAAAACCCACTAAAACTAAAGTTGTGTTTAATCATTTAAAATAGAGACTATAAAATAAATTTCATAAGTGAACATTGGGAAAGAAGTGTTGGGAAATAGAAGTTTTGGGAAAGCTGCTATTTGCCTATGATCGTTGAGGCTTCAATTTAATAAAAATTGAAATTCTTAACAGCTTTAAAATTCATTACCCCCCAAATTCATTACCCCACTTCATTAATCATTAAGGAAATGCAATTTAAAACCAATATGCAGGGGGTGCCTGGGTGGCTCAGTCGTTAAGCGTCTGCCTTCAGCTCAGGTCATGATCCCAGGATCCTGGGATCGAGTCCCACATCGGGCTCCCTGCTCAGTGGGAAGCCTGCTTCTCCCTCTCCCACTCCTTCCCCTGTTTGTGTTCCCTCTCTCGCTGTGTCTCTCTGTCAGATGACTAAATAAAATCTTTAAAAACACACACACACACACACACCAGTATGCAGTTCCATTATCCACCTACCAAAATGGCTTAAATGAAAAATAGAAAATCCCATGTGATGACAAGTTTGTGGACACTGCTTGTGGGTGTGCAGAGTCACATCACCACTTGGAAAACTGTTTAGTAATTTCTACTAAAACTGAACATACATACATATAATACACAAAACCAAGAATTTCCACTCCTAAGTGCATAACCAAGAGAAATGCATCCATTTGTTTACCAAAATATATACACAAGAATGTTGTCACAACACTGTTGCTAATAGCCTGATACGGGCTTTATCTCTGTGTTGGCTGGTTGGGGTGTGAACAGTGGCTGGAAGGGTGTCACAAGGGTAGCTTCTAAGGAGTAGTCTTTTCTGTTTCTTGAACTGATATTGTTTACAGTTGCTTTTACTTTATGAAAACTATTAATAGTTAATTTAGGCTCTTTTTTTTCTATACATTTATTACATTTCAGTATAATTCATTTGCTCTTTGTTTCATAAGAGTTTCTGGAGGCCAGAAAAATAATCACAAGGAGAGCCCCATGAAAATAACTAAGACCTTCATTTTCCATTGTGACAGATAAATATAAAACCATCCCACGTTTGTAAAATGCTGTAGAATTTTCATATACTCATCAGAACCTCTCCACAGCTGCACCAAGAAGGTCAGGTATTACTGGAATGACCACAGGAATGACATATCCTCGTTGACATCTATTCTTCCAGTATAATTATTTTTTCAGTTACTTTTAAAAAAAATTCTAATATAGTCAACATCCAGTGTTATTAGTTTCAGGTGTACAATATAGTGACTCAGCACTTCCATACAACATTCAGTGCTCATCATGATAAGGGTGCTCTTAATCCCCTTCACCTATTTCACCCATCCCCCCTACATGCTCCCTCGGGTAACCCCCATTTCTCTATATTTATATAAAGAATCTGTTATTTTCTCTTTCCCTTTTTTCCTTTGCTCGTTTGTTTTATTTCTTAATTCCACAGTGAGTAAAATTATATGGTGTTTACCTTTCTCTGACTGACTTTACTTCACTTAGAATTATGCCCTCTATATCCATCAATGTTGTTGCAGATGGCAAGATTTCATTCTTTTTTTGTTTGTTTTAAAGATTTTATTTATTTATTTGAGACAGAGCGAGAAAGAGAGTGAGAGAACATGAATGGGGGGGCAGTTGGGCAGAGGAAGAGGGAGAAACAGGCTCTCCACTGAGCAGGGAACCCCACAGGGGGCTCGATCCCAGGACCCTGGCATCATGACCTGAGCCAAAGGCAGACGCTTAACCAACTGAGCCACCCAGGTGCCCCAAGATTTCATTCTTCTTTATGGCTGACTCATAGTCCATTGTATGTGTGTGTGTATATATATATATATATATATATACACACACACACCACATCTTCTTTATCCATTCACCTATTGATGGACACTTGGACTGTTTCTGTACTTTGGCTATTGCAGATAATGCTGCAGTAAACATAGGGGTGCATATATCTTTTCAGTTTAGTGTTTTCATACTCTTTGGATAAATATCTGGTAGTGGAATTACTGGATCATATGCTAATTCTATTTTTAATTGTTTGAGGAACCTCCACACTATTTCCCATAGTGGCTGTACCAGTTTGCATTCCCACCAACAGTGTACAAGAGTTCCTTTTTCTCTACAGCCCCCCAACACTTGTTTCTTGTGTTTTTGATTTTAGCCATTCTGACAGGTATGAGGTAATACCTCATTGTGGTTTTGATTTGCATTTCCCTGATGAGTGATGTTGAACATCTCTTCTTGTGTCTGTTGGCCATCTGGATGTCTTCTTTGGAGAAATGTCCATTCATGTCTTCTGACCATTTTTAATTAGATTCTTTGTTTTTTGGGTGTTGATTTGTGTAAGTTTTTTATATATTCTGGATACGAACCCTTTATCAGATACATCATTGACACATATCCCATTCAGTAGGCTTTTTGTTGATTGTTTCCTTTGCTGTGCAGAAGATTTATTTTGATGTAGCCCCAATAGTTTGTATTTGCTTTTGTTTCTCTTGCCTCAGGAGGCCTATCTAGAAAGAAGTTGCTATGACCAATGTCAGAGAAATTACTGCCTGTGCTCTCTTCTAGGATTTTTATTGCTTTAGGTCTTTAATCCATTTTGAGTTTATTTTTACGTATGGTATAAAAAAGTGGTCCAGTTTTCCCAACACTATTTGTTGAAGAGACTTTTTCCCATTGATTTTTTGCCTCCTTTGTCATAATGGACCGTATGATTGTGGGTTTATTTCTGGGTTCTGTATTGTGTTCCATTGATCTATGTGTTTATTGTGCCAGTGCCATACTGCTTTTTTCTTTTTTTTTTTTGGTACCACACTGATTTGATTACTAGCTTTGTAATATATCTTGAAATCTGGGATTGTGATACCTCCAGTTTTGTCCTTTTTCAAGATTGCTTTGGTTATTCAGGGTCTTTGGTGATTCCACACAAATTTTAGCATTATTTGTTCAAAGTTCTGCGAAAAGTGTTGTTAGTATTTTGATAGGGATTACATTAAATCTGTAGGTTGCTTCGGGTAGTATGGACATTTAACAGTATTTGGTCTCCCAGCCCATGAGCATGGAGTATCTTTCCATTTGTTTGTGTCATCTTCAATTTCTTCTATCAGTGTTTTATAGTTTTCAAAGTACAGGTCTTTGACCTCCTTGGTTAAATTTATTCCTGAGTATTTTACTATTTTTAGTGCAAATGTAAATGGGATTGTTTTAATTTCACTTTTTGCTACTTATTAGCTATAGAAATGCAACAAATTTCTATACATTGATATTGTATCCTTCAACTTTACTGAATTTATCAGTTCTAGCAGTTTTTTTGGTGTAGAGTCTTCCAGATTTTCTATATATAGTACATATCATCCGCAAATAGTGAAAATTTTACTTCTTCCTTAACAATTTGGATGCCTTTTATTTCTTTTTGTTGTCTTATTGCTCTGGCTAGGGCTTCTATTACTATGTTGAATAAAAGTGGTGAGAGTAGACATCCTTGTCTTGTTACTGACCTTAGGGGAAAAGCTCTCAGTTTTTCCCCATTGAGTATGGTGTTAGCTGTGGGTTTTTTATTTCAGGCCTTTATTATGTTGAGGTATGTTCCCTCTATCTAGACCTGCTTTATTGAGGGTTTTTATCCTGAATGGATGTTAGACTTTGTCAAATTTTTTTCTACTGAAATGATAAGACTTTTATCCTTTCTCTTGATGTATCTCGTTGACTGATTTGCAAATATTGACTCACCCTTGCATCCCAGGAATAAATCCCACTTGATCATGGTGATTTTTTTTTTTAATGTATTGTTGGATTTGATTTGCTAGTTATTTTGTTGAGGATTTTTACATCTGTGTTCATCAGGGATATGGCCTGTAGTTGTCTCTTTTTGGTGATGTCTTTGGTTTTGGTATCAGGGTAATGCTGGCTTCATAGAATGAATTTGGAAGATTCCCTTCCTTTCGTATTTTCTGGAAGTTTGAGATGAATAGGTATTAACTCTTTGCCAGTGAAGGCATCTGGTCCTGGACTTTTTGTTTGTTGGGATTTTTTTTTAAATTACTGATTCAATTTCATCTCTAGGAATTGGTCTGTTCAAAATTTCCTATTCCTGATTGTCTTGGGAGATTATATATTTCTACAAATTTATCCATTTCTTCTAGGTTCAGTTTGTTGGCATATAATTTTTCATAATGGTCTCTTAGAATCCTTTCTGTGGTGTTTGTTTCTTCTCTTTCATTTCTGATTTTGAGTCCTTTGCTAAGTCTGGCCAAAGGTTTATCAATTTTGTGATCTTTTCAAAGATTACCAGCTCCTGGTTTGATTGACCTGTTTTATTATTTTTTTGGTTTCTGTTTTGTTAATTTCTAGTCTAATCTTCATTATTTCCTTCTACTGGCTTGGGGTTTTGTTCATTTTCCAGCTCCTTTAGGTGTAAGGTTGTTTGAGATTTTTGCTTCTTCCAGCATCATTTTTTAAAAAGGATTTTATTTATTTATTTTGAGAGAGAAAGCAAGTGAGCATGGTGGGGGGGGGCCAGGCAGAAGGAGAAGAGGGAGAGAAGCAGACTCCCTGCTGAGCATGGAGCCTGATGCAGGGCTGGATCTCAACAAGCCTGAGATCATGACCTGAGCCAAAATCAGGAGTCAGATGCTTACCCAACTGAACCACACAGGCACCCACAGCATAATTATTAATAGGCCTCCTGTTCCCTCTCAGGTATCCTGGTTTAATGCTAAATGATTATTACTTTACAGATGAGGAAATAAGAGGTTAAATGTGAGGTTAAATGACTTGCCCATTATTACTTATTGATAGGTAGTGTGCTGAGGACTCAAGGCCACAACTTGTGTGGGTATCACTAACTTGGGGCTCCTAGAAATAGAAGTGGACACACAGAGAAGCCTTTCATTCTCCCTGCTCTTTAAGGCTTGGAATCCCCACAGTCCAAACTACAGCCCTCTGACCTGCAGAAAGTGGGAAACCATGTTTGTAAAAGAGGGCTGCCTTAGATTCTTCTGAGTATGACTGCCTTCCATTCTCTGCCCCTTGTGTCTCTCATATCATATCTAGGTCTTTAGATTGTTCTCTGGGTCTCAGTGCTGCTACTGGACCCCTCAACCCTCAAGAGCGTAGCCTTCTGAGATGATTCACTGTGCCATTGTGCATTCTTTTACTAGTTTTAGCCTTCAGCCTAAATGTATATCCCTGAAATCTCTGGCACAGTACAACCTGTAGACTACTGATACATGTGATTTTCCAGTCTCCACAGGGAGGAGAGAGGGAGTTGGTTAACAGGAAGTTGTATCTGAGACACAATGCATTCCATAAAATATATATCAAAAATTTGTAAAATGCACATGGAAAAGACAAACAACTGTAAACTGAAATGAGAACTGCTGGGTATGTTAATGTGATAGAAGGATTTTTCTTCCCCCCATATTTAATATTTTATAATAGATTTTTAAACACCAAGTTTATAAATGTAATGTTCCTACTTTATAGGAACAAAGGTTACTTTTACTTTTGAAATGTACCTGAGAGACTTCTATAAATTATCTGTGTTTCTAATACTATTACTGCCTGCCTGTTCACTTTGAATCATTTCTCACAGCAACATAAAATTACTTACATAGAAGGGCCTCAGCAAAGCACAAGGTACCTACATTATTAGCTTTTCAAAATTATCAAGGAGGGGCGCCTGGGTGACTCAGTCAGTTAAGCGTCTGCTTTCGGCTCAGGTCATGATCCCAGGGTCCTGGGATTGAGTCCTGCATCGGGCTCCCTGCTTTGCAGGGAGTCTGCTTCTCCCTCTCCCTGTGCCTACCACTCCCCTGCCCTCACTTGTGCTCTTTCTCAAATAAATAAAATCTTATAAATAAAAATAAAAGCTACCATCCCAGGAGAACAAAGTAGAAGTATCTGGCATTTAAAAAAAAAAAAAGTAAAATCATGTAAATTGTACAGTAATGTGATTTTAAAAACCTGAGACTCTTCAATGTGTCTTTTCTTCTTTAATAGCTCCCAACACTGGTAACCAAGACATGTCAGCCTGGTTCAATCTATTTGCAGACTTGGATCCACTTTCAAACCCAGATGCTATTGGACACTCAGATGATGAACTTCTTAATGCTTGACTGAAACTATGTCGTCACTTCAGTGGCCTTGAAACATCAATTTTACAACATATTGCCTTTGTGGAAAGGAGTTTATATGGTAACCCATACACAAAAGCATCGTGTTTGTGTATCTAACACTTTTCAGCCAACTTTAAAGAGATGGTAAGGACTACATTTGAATAGATTAAGTATTTCTTTAATATCTTGGATTTGCAGCTGTTGATAATATGTGGAAAATATTATGAACCATTGAGTCTGAAATAGATACCAAAATTTATTTCAAAATAATAATTAGGAATACTTCTGTAAATAAGGAATTGGGCTTATTTCTTTGGAAAGCCTTTTATGTGTAAGTTGCCTTGCTGGCTGTGAGAATTCTGTATGTGGATAAAGACAGCATGTAAATTTGGTTGTGATTTGGGGTTGGTTTTTTAATAAAACCATAGCAGGGGGAGTTTTCTGTTGTGGAAAATAACACTAGAACCAGAACAGTTTTGTCTTTAGTTAGAAAAGTAGAGAAAGATTTGAGAACTCAGTTTGCTTTAATGAAATCACAGAGAAACTTGGTGCTTTTCTCCACTTGGAGGCTAAAATGTAATATTACTTAGTTTTTTTCCTTCATAGAAAATCATGGATACCCCTCAATTCCATTATTGAGTTTTCATGGGAAAATAGCAGGATGATTCATTTGCTAAATCTATCCTCTGCAGAAACTCATAAACCCATCTCCTAAACCACAAGAATGTCCAGTAATATTCAAGACATTGTACAGGTGTCTTCAGGCCTGGTTTTTCACACATTGTTACCATAATATACAGTATTCATATTCTTTCTGAAAAGAAAGGGGAAGACAATCCCTAAGCAACTGGCAGTAGTATTCCTGAAATTACCCAGAAAGTGCTCTCTGAATGAGGGAAAAATTCTAAGCTTATCCTTGTACATATTTGTACACTTATAACCTATTTCTTGACACGATTTAATCCAGATTACTTTTCTGGCAGTCATAGAAGGCTCCACATGATCAATCGGAAAGGGTCTTATTTTTCCACTTTTCCCTTTCTGTGGGTGACACCATCTAAGGCTCTATTTGATGACTGAGGAAAAATTGTTACCCTTACTGGAGGGAAGTTAGTGTAAGCCAGTGAACCCATAGCCACTGTATATACATATCACTCAATTTCCTGTTCTTTTTTCTTGACCATCCTTTAGATTTGAGGCAGTTCTCCAGGTGTCTTATTTTTGTCATCCAGTCCCATTACACATCCATAAGGGAACATTTTAACTAAGGTGTTCACTTAGGTGGCAGTTTTCATGTGCTCCCAGTTTTCAAGAGGCTTATTGTTTATAAGAGAATGGCTTGTAATGTCCGAGTCACTGTAAATAGGACATTTTTTGGGACTACACCAGAGTGGGTAAAGTGCAGTCCACCTCCATGCACAGCACTCTGGCCTAGCTATAATTGGAACTGCCCCCAAGCCCTCCAGGAAATCACTGGTGGGGGGCAGTACCACCTAGGCTGGCAAGACCTTATCTGAGGATCAGAAGCAATGAATGAATCAGGAAAAGGTTATGTAGTCTTTTCATGCTTATTCCTATTTCTTTCTTTAGTTATCCTTTCAGTCAGAAGCATTTTTTACCTCTTCCTTTTTATTCAGTGAAATTCTCCAGAAGATTCAATCACCAAGGATTGTGATTCATAATTACAATCTAAATTCTGTACCTATGGTGACTCTGCGCTCTCAACTTTGAATACTTCAAAAATAATGCTACAATCTAAATTCTGTACCTATGGTGACTCTGCGCTCTCAACTTTGAATACTTCAAAAATAATGTTAACTTTGTATCTTGAGCTTGTGCCGTTTTTCTTTCATTAATTTTTTCACTAATACATTAGTTCACAAAATATTTCTGTATCTCCTTCACATGCATGCAGAGTAGTCCGTTATCTCGAATAAATAAAACCCAAACACAGAGAAAAACCACTGATCTTTCCAAGCCAGAAGCCCGAATCCCAGACTATCAATGTATTCACATTGCCCTCAATTTCCAAAGAACAAAAGTCCTCAAAAAAAAAAATAGAAACACACAATAGATTTTTATTATTATTCAGTTCTTAGATTCTCTTAACATTTCTTCTGAGTATGTAGTTGCCCATTTAATCCAAAAGCACATTAACTGTCTTAGTAAGTTAAGTTATAATTTCAACAAATCTAACAACTCCATTTTTGAAGAGCACGTTGAAAACTTTGTTATTAAAATGAAGGTAACCATATTTTTTCAAGATTAATTATTTGAAGTTCAGTCATTTAGAGGCCAGAAACAGAAATCTGGCTATATTATACCTAGACTGCTAATAGGGGAAACAAATCACTTATTCAGTAGGGAGTGAAGGAAAGACATGATAAACACAGAACAGAAAGGTGATCAGTTGCTATTGTCTAAATCTAGATAAAACATTCAATAAGAAATAAATTAACCTTAACCAGAGGTAGGCTGAGAACTCTTACAAAGTAAATGGATGTTTTTATATTAAATGGGGGAAAATAATATCTCCTTTTTATTACCAAATAAGAATGCATTTAACCTTAGAAAAGCCCCAGAAGAACTAAAATTTGTCTAATCTTTCTTATGACCACTTTACAAGTGAGACAGGAATACCAGGGCACATTAAGATCAGACTGGTGTAACTTTGTATTTTTTGAAATCTTTCATTAATTGTAAAACATAGCTCTGATATGGTTAGAAACGAACTGTATTTTTTAAAAAAATAGTATTCTGTATTTGCACAATGAAATTCAGTGTTTGTATTTCAACTATGGATATTTCACATAACTATCTATATAGACCATCTGGAAACGTAGAGGTCTTACAGCATAAGAACAAAGGAAGTTTGTGCTCTCTTTTTCTGAGCCTCTTTTAATAAAGATTACAAGATGGCATAAAACAAAAAAGTTGATTTCTTAAAGTACTCAATACAAATCCAATTATTGTTAACCTATTAAAAAATTTGGGTTTTACCTCAGGACCATAGTAGTAAAAGGTAGTCTGAAATGATACAGATAACACAGAATGAAAATAAAACCAAGGCAATTAATATCTTTGTGAGACTGATTCTTTTTAACTTACTTCATACAGAAGGGACGTTATATGGGAAATAACAGAATGTGTTCTTTGTGTAAATACACTAACAAAATACAAACCATCAAATATTAAAAATTTGAGCCTAGAAACAATAACCAATGAAATATAAGCATAGTATTTAACCTGATTTACTGAAGGCAGGAATGAAAAGCCAGAATCAATCTAGTTTATATCTTCTTCCGTAGTATTGGCAGGGCCCTGTGTTTTCTTACCTTGAGCAGTGAAGTGGCCCCGGAATCTTGGGATACTGAAATTAAACTAGGAAGGAAATACAAACTTTAAAAATATTAATTCAGCAGTATTGAAAGTAATGCACGTAAAACACATACAATGGTAAGGTGTTTAAATATGGCAATAAAAACCTATTGAACAGGATGGGTCACCTTAATATGCCAACCATAAGATATCGCCTTTTTTATGTGCCATTTAAAGAGACTAAAAAGTTGAATTAAAAACTGTCCTTGGCATTTAAAGTTGAAACATGGTTCTTCATTCAGTGGTATAAATAACCAATCAACATCCAAAGAGTAAAATACAAAAAAGGAGATCTGGGTGGTGTGTGTGTGTTTGTTTGATTTGAGAGAGAGCATGAGAGTGAGAGCACAAGCGGGGTGGGGGGGGGGCAGAGGGAGAAGCAGACTCCCCGCCAAGCAGGGAGCCCGATGTGGGGCTCGATCCTAGGACCCTGGGATCATGGCCTGAGCCAAAGGCAGATGCTTAACTGACTGAGCCACCCAAGAGCCCCTGGGTGGTTTTCATAGGTAAGATTTTGAAATGCATGTTTTTACATTAAAGAAAAAAAGTTTCCTTTTTCCCATTTCAAAGTAATACTCTCTTGTTTAAGAAAAATCATCCACAACCCTACCACCCAAAATAACCACTATTAACATTATATATTATTTTATAGTGCTTTTGGCCTCACATATAAATTAAATTGTGATTCAGGTGATTTTATTTTGTCTTCTGTCTGAAATGAGCATACCAAATTAAGATTAAAAAATTACTTTTAACCAGATCCATATATCTACTGCCTACAGGAGACTCATTTCAGACTAAAAGACACCTAAATTTTGAAAGTGAGGGGATGGAGAAATATTTATCATGCAACTGAATGTCAAAGCTGGGGTAGTAGTACTTCTATCAAACATCTAGACTTAATTTTTTTTTAGTTTATTTAAGTAATCTCTACACCCAACTTGGGGCTCAAGCTCATGACCCCAAGAATCAAGAGTCACTTGCTCTTCCAACTGAGCCAACCAGGCTCCCCCAGACAAACTAGACTTTAAAACAAAGACTGTAATAAGACCAAGAAGGACACTATGTAATAATAAAGGGGAAAATCCAACAAGAAGATAGAACAATTGTGGGGGCGCCTGGGTGGCTCAGTCGGTTAAGCGTCTGCCTTCAGCTCAGGTCATGGTCCCAGGGTCTTGGGATTGAGTCCCACATCGGGCTCCCTGCTTGGCGGGAAGCCTGCTTCTCCCTCTGCCCCTGCCCCTGTTTGTGCACTCTCTCTCTCTCTCAAATAAATAAAATCTTTAAAAAAAAAAAAAAAGATACAATTGTAAATATTTATGCACCCAACATGGGAGCACATAAATACATAAAATAGTTAATAACAAACATGAATAACTGACAGCAATACAATAGCACTAACACAATAGTAATACTTTAACACCCCACTCACATCGATGGACAGAGCATCCAAACAGAAAATCAAGGAAACAGTGGTTTTGAATGACACACTGGACCAGATGGATTTAACATTCAGAACATTCCATACTAAACAGAAGAATACATTCTTTTCAAGTGCACATGGAACATTCTCCAGAAGAGATCACATACAGGGCCACAAAACAAGTCTCAACAAATTCAAAAAAATTAAAGTCATACCATGCATCTTTTCTGACCACATGCTATGAAATCAACCAGAAATCAACCACAAGAAAAATATGGAAAGAGCACAAATACATGGAGATTAAATAACATGCTACTAAAACAATGAATGGGTCAACCAGGAAATCAAAGAAGAAATAAGTTACATGGAAACAAATGAAAATAAAAACACAATGGTCCAAAATATTTGGGATGCAGCAAAAGTGGCTCTAAAAGGGAAGTTTAGAGCAATACAGGCCCTACCTCAAGAAGCAAGAATAGTCTCAAAATGACCTAACCTTACACTTAAAGGAGCTAGAAAAATAAGAATAAAACCCAAACCTAGCAAACGAAGGAAATAAAGATTAGAGGAGAAATAAATGATATAAAAACCAAAAAAACAGGGGCGCCTGGGTGGCTCAGTCAGGTTAACTGTCTGCCTTTGACTCAGGTCATGATTCCAGGGTCCTGGGATCGAGCCCCACATCGGGCTCTCTGCTCAGCAGGGAGTCTGCTTCTCCCTCTCCCTCTGCCTGCCGCTCACCCTGA